TTTATTCGCGAGAAGAAAGGGTGAATAAGGAGCTGACAGTTCGAATAAAATGAAACGTAAAATCCAATGCTCCACTAGGCTCCCACAACAAAGCAACTATGGCATTTGGAAACAAATAGACACTGGAAAAGTAAACTCCCCTTAGATTTTTGACTCCATAGAGGTTGATTAGTTGAGTGATTTTTATTTATTTATTTATTTTGCTGCAGGTTTTCACAACAATAATTTTTTTGGTTGGGTGATTGTTTATATTTTTTAATTTCATGCTGCATCCATGAGTCTGGAATAATTTATTGAACTTTGTGTGTAAGAAAACTGCTTGGTATCAACTTGTGGTCCCTCCAATTCGAGATTGATAATTGCAATACCAGAATAATTTTATTTTTTTTTCCGCAGAGAGAATGCAACGTTGGAGATGCTGGGTGTGCAATTGACAGGGAATTGAATCAAATTCTTACAGAAATGGATAGAATGAATGCAAAGAAATGTGTCTTCATTATTGGTGCCACCAAATAGGGCTGATATAATCGATCACGCGCTTATTTGTCATGGACGTCTTGATCATTTGATTTACATACCTGTAGTAGGAAAATTGCCTTCATGATTGGAGCCACTATGTTAACATTTTTCCCTGTAGTGTAATAGGAAAATTGGTGGCTTGTGTTCTATGTATATTGAAGCTATAAATGAATGGAATGTAATTTAATCCTTCATATGTTTAAGGATCTAGTTTGAAATGTTAATTTTTTATTGTGTTTTGTATATGACAATTGCATTGAGCCTTAAGATGCTTTCTGGTGCAATCAGGAGCATCAGCTATATGCCAATTGCTAGTTGATGAGTTGATGCAATCTGGAGCATCAACTATGAGGATGCAATTGTACAGGTTAAATGCAATCTGATGCAAAGTTCTGATGCATCATATTGCATTTAACTTGTGCAATTTGATGTTTAAATGAATGCAAATTACAACACCAAATAGTTTGTTACCAATAACATCAAAAAAGCTTTCATTCATTCCATTAAGAAAGCACAGTAAAGTAATTCAAGTAGTTCATTACAACACCAACCAGCTTGTTGCAAAATATGGAATAACTTTTAAAGTAAAGAACTAAAAGTAACTTGGTGTTCTACTAAGTAGCTGCATTTTCTTGAATTTCAGTATATTGCAAATCTTCCACCATAGTTTGGAGTGGGATATCTTCAGCTGGGACTTGCACAAATGCTTCAGTTGTCGTGCATTTCTCTGTCCTCGAATAACCAGGTGTTGGCATGAATTGGAACTCGGATGGTGGAGGTGGTAGCGGTTGAACTTCATTTCTTGAACTCGTGTTTGATCTCCTAGGTGCTAGCTTTGCCTATGAAAAAAATGGAATAATCAAAATGAGCAAAAAAAATAATCAGTTTGGATACAAATTAAACACAAGCCAATACTATTGGGAAACACAAAACACGTTAGGTTACCCTTAAATTTTGGTCATTAATCTCACTAGATTTTTCTTGAATTGTACGTTCCACATCATAAGCATTGCAATCCTAAATAAATGAACACATGAAATAATTATAATCATTCTAAGCAAATGAATAATTCTAAGCAAACATATGAAATGTTTACAATTAAAATTATTTAAAAGAACAAAAACCTCTTTGGGTGCATCGGGCCTCTGATGGTATCGCTTGTTGTGCCCCGTTCCTCCACAGACACTACAAGTCATAAGCACAGATTCTCGTTTCTTCATTTTTACTTTTGAGCCTGAACGGGTGATGACATCTTCTTCTTATTGTCTCATTCTCTTTTTTTGTTTTCTACCCCTTTTGGGCACAAACCAACATGGTGGTCTGATTGGTGGGGCGTCACTTGAAGGCCATAACTTTGAGTCATTTATAGGATTAATAATATTCTCATAGCAACTAAGGTAGGTATCGACTCTATAGTACTCATGAACGTACTTCCAAGGCTCATCATATCTGTCTACAATGGCGGCAAGTGCATGAGCACAAGGAATCCCTGTGAAATCCCATCTCCTGCACGCACACATCCTATTTTAAAGATCAACAACATATTCTCCACTTGAACACTTCATGTATGACTGTGCCCCC